TGATAGAAGAGCTGAAAAAAATAATTTACTTCTCTCTCTCTTTCTCTGAATCTCAAATCACATTCTCACATGTTGGGGCATTGTTGTGATAAACAAACAATGAATGGTAAAGTGTATTCAATTGCGATTGGAGACCTAGATATTTCCATATTTTTAGTTTTAAACACTGATTCAAACAGAACAAAAAATTCTATGCTTAACTGAATTATCACTTTCTGCAATAATTAACGGAAATAATCACATTAAAAAACATACCAAAATTCACTGACCACAATGAGATTGATAAGTTATAGTACAAAAACTATGTATGAAATTACAAGAGGTTACAGATGTAATAAAAACAGGGACTATCTAATGAAATATGTATACTTATTAAGTACCCTGTCCGGTGTGGAAAAAGTATATACTACATATGTATATATTTATTAGAATTTTTAGACAAAGAACTGAATTCTAATATAACATAATCAAGAATTATTTTACAAAGGAAAATGTACCTTTCTCTGGTACAAATTCAATGCAACTTTGCAAAGAGATCTGGATTTCTCAAACTGTCTTCTTTAACTTTTAACCAAGAACCAGTTCAGATAATTCTCTGCCTCATCTGGAAACAAAGGATAAAAGTTTTTTTCCCTTAAATATATTAATTCATATTTAAATTTTCTAGAATTACTTTCACAAGGTTGATGACAGTTCCTTATTCATCTTCACTAAGTCAATTTAGAGATCTATCGTAATAATACTTACACATAAAATTAATTGAGAAACTTCTCAGAATTAACTGGCTGTGCGGAGAAAGGTACCATGATAGCAATAACTATATAGCAAATTAATTTTTAAATTTTTCAACTCAAAGGATTTAAAAAAATTTAGTAGATTCTCTCCGCAACTCAATATTCTATTGCTCTGATTTGAAACAAGAAACTTAACTTAGAAAGGCAAATACTCAAGTTCACTGATTAGGTTTGAAGGCAAAAACGCATATTTATAGTTTACACAAACCTCCTACTATGTGTCAGGTACTGTTTTAAGTGATTTATATATATTTACTCCATCTAATCCTCACAGTAACCCTTTGATGTAAGACCTATTATTATCTCCATGATAAAGATAAGGAAACAACACTAAAAAGCTTAAGGGGCTCTACTAACTGTAAATGACAGAGCTTAGGATTTAACGTACCAGTCTAGCTCCAGAAAGTTGTGATCTTAACCACTATACTGGAAACCCAACATCAGAAGTGTGCATTTTCCAGTACACCATGATATTTGTGATATGAAGTACCATTATGCTATATCTCAAATTGCTATTAGCAACACACCCATTACATTTAATACATCAGATAATGGCCAACAGCTTCTGGATCCTGTATTTTTGTGGTTTCCCTAATTAAAAAATAATATATATCTAAAAACATTCATCATGTCATTTTACTCTTACGAGCAAAACATAGGTATAGTGCTTAACTATTAAGCTGATTTAACTCAGTCTTATAAACCAACTTACTACATGCCACAGTAAAGACATCACAGTATTATGTTTTGGATGAGTCTTTCCCCGATGGTTGTCTGGGTAAATATATTCTTATTGAAATTAGTCCAGTTAATGAGGACTGGTGTCAATCTATATAATAACTTTTAAAGATTAGATTATTTCATAATACAATAATAAGCAAATTAACTTCACAAGAAATTTTGACAGATATATCAAAATACCAATAAGGTTATGTCACTACTTAATACTGTCACCTATTCCACACTATTTGAAAGTTAATACACACAAAATCATTATTCTCAAGAATAAAAATAACACGTTTCAATAATAAAATGATTATATTTAAGAAAGGAGGGGAAGGCTTCAAGATGGCTGACTTGTAAAGCACATGTGGCTCACCACACCAAGTAGGATAAAACAGTAGTAGACTAGAAACCCCATCTCTATAAAAAATTTTAAAAATTAGCAGGACATAGTGGTGCACACCTGTAGTTCCAGCTGTTCTGGAGGCTAAGGCAGCAGGATTGCCAGAGCCCAGGAGTCTGAGATTGAAGTGAGCTAGGATGGCACCACTGCACTCTACCACGGGCAACAGAGCTAGATACTATCTCCCAACAACAACAAAAAATCATTTTCTCTAAAATTCTTAAGAATAATATAAATTAAAAGTATAATTTTAGAGTACTTTCACATATCAAATATTTATACATTTAAATATAATAGATATCAGAACTACTGTATTTTAAAGCTTCTTTCCATTTAGCAATCCATTTTCTTTGAAATAAAGACTAGTGATACTTCAGTATCAGTACGTTTAGTCACAACAAAGACATGAGCTCTCCAATGCCCTGCCCTTGCAGTAGAGAGAAGTTCTGGGAGGTTCTGGAACACTGGGTTTAAGAATGTTGGAAATAGGTCTCAGAAACAACAAGACTGTTGCTTCTTCCAGAATGTAGCTGAGTGAGCTGCAAAGAGCAGCAGAATGGGGAAGAAAGTGGTGCTAGGAAAGCCAGGGTAGTACAGTTTAAATTCAGTGAAATCAGAGCCTCTTGCTGATTTCTTACTGATTCTGCCACCTACTGACCACATTATGAATCAAGGCACTGCGAGTGACAAGGAACTTCAACTATTACAGTAAGATCAATCAATAGTTATTGAGTGCTATTAACAAAATGGCAGTTTAGTATCATTAAAATTTGTCTTGGCTATATTATGAATGTCTGGAATATGCTATGATGCTTAACTGATTCCTTAAATGTCCTTTCAGAAATAAATCTTAGTAAAAGTAATGGTACTAAAAAGTATCCCATTTTGGTTTGCCCTTAAATATTCAAAATTAGGAAAGTTGAAACAGTGTCACATAGAAAATTCAGAGAATCAAAGTTAAGAGGAATGGAAATGCAGCATTCTCAGCAATGCATACATGAGAGCCTTTATATGAATTTTGTTTGGTTTTGCTTTAGTTTGATTAGGTTTTAGCAGCTGCAGTAAGAATTGCTTTGATTATAACTGATTAGCTCTACCAAGTGCTGCACTAAAGAGCATAAAATTCTCTTGCTAAATTAACAGTTGTATTAAAGCATCAATAACTAAGACAAAAAAAAGCAAAACACACAAACAGCATCAGGTTAAATGAAAGAGAAAAAGGAAATAATATTTAAGTGCCTGCTAGCTACAAAGCACTGTGCTGGATGCTTTAAATATATAACCATATTTAATTCTCACAACACTACTAGGTAAACATTAGTCTACTCATTTTATGGATGAGAAAACTCAATCTCCAAGGTTACAAGTATCACAGCTGGAATGCAAGTATGTGTGACTATATTTCCTCTGGCTTTTCCTACTATACCACAATACCTTTAGAAAGTCTATAATGGGTTTTACACTTGTCTCCCTGTCTCTAACTTCAGTTACTTCATTTGTAAAACAAAGAGTCTGTGCTTAATGACTTGGAAGGTTCAGACTAACTCTAAAATTTTATGAAATCTATGATTCTCGTAGCAGTCAATCCAAATAAATCAATAAGCAACAGAGCAACTACTCAATTGAAAAAGGGCAGACAACTGTAGGGGGAAGTTCACAGAAAAAGAAATGACAATTGCCTAAGAATAGAAGAAAAGCTGCTCAACTTCACATCTAATTTAAAAAGTAAAAGTTATAACACCAATGATTTACCATTTTCATCCCTGAGATGGGCAAAGGTTGTGGGAAAATAGACAGTCATACGCATTTTTGTTGACATTGTAAATTGGTGCAAATTCCTTGGAAGATAATTTTGTAATATCTTTCAAATGTTAAATGTACCCTTCTAGAATTTATACTACAAATAGCCTCACATATGTGCACAAAGGCATATATAGAAACATGTTCACCACAGAATTTCTTGAAATAGCAAAAGATTGGAACTAATTTAAATATCCATTATTATGGGACTACTTAATTTAATTAAGATAGGTTCATACCACAGAATTCTATGCAGTATGTAAAAAGAACACTGTAGATAAACATAAGCTCCTATGGAATAACCTCCAAAACATGGTTGGCAAAAACAGCAAGGAATAATAATTAAAAAGAGATAAATACACATATGTATCTAGAAGCAGACTGTTTCTAGGGGGCAATGCAAAAAATTAGTAATAATGGTTTTCTCTGTGGAAAAATTTGTAAGTATGAGATTAAAGGAGATTTACTTTTTTTAAACCATATTTTTAAAAAATATATGAATAGTTTGCAATAGGCATGAATACTTAGCTTTAAACAATTTTTCAACTTTAAAAAGTGATTATAATTAATGGTAAACTCTCAAGTCATTGAAGAACCCTTTAAATGTGATGTCTACTATACCAAATAAGAACAAAGAAAGTAGACCTAATTGGTAGGAATTTTTGAAAAATGTCAAAATTCTTCAGAATAATCATCCCAGATTTCAGTGTGTGTGTTCACTTCAACCCACAAGGAACAACAAATACAGCACAAGCAATTCCAATATGCAACATATGATAGAAGAGCTGAAAAGAAATAATTTTCACTTCTCTCTCTCTTTCTCTGAATCTTCCAAAATTCACATTCTCACATGTTGGGGCATGTTGTGATAAATCAGACAAATGAATGGTAAAGGTGCTAATTCAAATTGCATGAGACCATAGAATATTTCCATATTTTAGTTGTAAACACTGATTCAAACAGAAAAAATTCTATGCTTAACTGAATTATCACTTCTGCAATAATTAACGAAATAATCACATTAAAATAAAATACCAAAAATTCCTGGACCACAATGAGATTGATAAGTTATAGTACAAAAACTATGTATGAAATTCACAAGAGGTTACAGATGTAATAAAAAACAAGGGACTATTATGAAATAATTATACTTATTAAGTACCCTGTCCAGTGTGGAAAAAGTATATATACATATGTATATATTATTAGAAATTTTTAGCAAAGAACTGAATTCTAATATACCATAATCAAGAATTTATATTTTACAAAGGAAAATGTACCTTTTCTCTGGGTAGCAAAATTCAATGCCAACTTTGCAAAGAGATCTGGATTCTCAAACTTGTCTTCTTTAACTTTTAACCAGAAACAGTTCTCAGATAATTCTCTGGCCTCAATCTGAAACAAAGATAAGTTTCTAAATTATTACTTCATATTTAAATTTTCTAAGAATTTACTTTCAGCAAGGTTGAATGACAGTTCCTTTATTCATCTATCCACTAAGTCAATTTTAGGATCTATCTAAATAATACTTACAACATAAATATTAATTGAGAAACTCTCAGAATTCTACTGGTGTGCAGAAAAGGTACATGATAGCAATAAGCTATATAGCAAATTAGATTTTTAAAATTCTTCAACTCAAAGGAGTTTTAAAAATAATTTAGTAGATCTCTCTCCCAACTCACATATTCTTATTGCTCCTGGATTTTTGAAAACAAGAAAACTTAGACTTAGAAAAGCAAATTACTCAAGTTCACTGATTAGGTTGAAGCCAAAAACCATAATTATAGTTGACACAAACCTCCTACTATGTGTCAGGTACTGTTTTAAGTGATTTATATATATTTACTCATCTAATCCTCACAGTAACCCTTTGATGTAAGACCTATTATTATCTCCATGATAAAGATAAGGAAACAACACTAAAAAGCTTAAGGGGCTACCTAACTGGTAAATGACAGAGCTAGGATTTAAACCTACACAGTCTAGCTCCAGAAAGTTGTGCTCTTAACCACTATACTGAAACCCAACATCAGAAGTGTGCATTTTCCAGTACACCATGATATTTTGTGATATGAAAGTACCATTATGCTATATGCTAAATTGCTAAATTAGCAAACACACCATTACATTTATACATGCAGATAACTGGGCCAACAGCTTCTGGATCCTGTATTTTGTGGGTTGCCCCTAATTAAAAATAACTATATTCTAAAACCATTCATATGTCATTTACTCTTACGAGCAAAACATAGGTATATGCTTAACTATTAAAGCTGATTTAACCATCAGTCTTATCAAACCAACTTACTACATGCCCACAGTAAGACATCACAGTAATTATGTTCTTGGATGAGTCATTTCCCCAGATGGTTGTCTGGGTAAATATATTCTTATTACTTCTAATAGTAATACTTCTAATTCTTATTACTTCTAATTAGTCCCCAGTTAATGAGGACTGTGTCAATCTATATAATAACTTTTTTAAAAGAAATAGATTATTTCATAATAACAATAATAAAGCAAATTAACATTCAGAAGAAAACATTTTGACAGATAATATCAAAATACAATAAGGTTATGTCACTACTTAATACTGTCACCTATTCCACACTATTTGAAAGTTTAATACACACACAAATCATTATTCTCTAAGAATAAAAATAACACGTTTCAATAATAAAAATGATTATATTTAAGAAAGGAGGGGAAGGCTTCAAGATGGCTGACTTGTAAAGACATGTGGCACTCACCCACACCAAAGTAGGATCAAAACAGTAAGTAGATAATCACACATCAAATAGAGCATCTAAGAGAGAACAGTGAAATTCACCATAGACATGACAGGAAACACCTCAGGCATGAAAAAAGAAGAAAGCAAGGTGCCATCAGGCCAAGATCAACTAGGGGCCCAGAGTCTCTCCCCAGTGTGGAGAAAAGGTGAGAGAACCCCCACAGTCCACATTTCCACTGAGGACTCCTATAGACCTAGCCATACAGAATGGGGAAAAGCTGAAAAGCTTTCTTCTAAGAACTGGAACAAGACAAGAATACCCACTTTCACCACTTCTATTCAACACAGTACTGGAAGACCTACCCAGAGCAATCAAACAAAAAAAAGTAATAGAAGGCATCTAAACTAGAAAACAACAACTCAAATTGTCCCTCTTGGCAGAAAACATGATCTTATATTATTTAAAAAAACTTAAATATGATACCAAAAAACTCTTAGAACTGATTCAGTAAAGTTCCAGGATACAAATCAACATACAAAGATCAGATGTGTTCCTATGCGCAAAAAACAAATGAGTGAAGAAAGAAATCACGGGGAACAAGATGGCTGAATAGAAACCTCCAGCAATTGTCTCTCCGCATAAACACCAAATTCAACAAATATCCGTGCAAGGAAGCACCTTCAGAAGAATCAAAAATCAGATGAGTGATCACAGTACCTGGCTTTAACATTATATAAAGGAAAGAGGTATTGAAGAAAGCAGAAAAGACTCTTACATTGCCTACACCACTGCTCCCCTATAACCCATCCCCTAGCAGTGCTGCACCAATACACAGAGTAGAGAAAAAAAAATCTCTATGTCCCAGAGGAGGAAGAGTGAAGTGATAAAGCGAATTCCGACTGGATCTCAGATCCACCCTGTCACAGGGGAACACAGCACAGGGCAGAATACTGCTGACACCCATAGAGGAAGCATTTACATCAGCCCAGCCAGAGGGAAATCCTCAGCCCTGAAACCAACCCAGGTGACAAAAAGCAGCCTGCACCCTAAAACAAATAAATTTGTAAACAAGTCTGACCATAAAGGCTGTAGTCCTTGGTCAATTCCTGTGGCTGTGCTTGCAAGGAGTCAGTAGGCCTGGGGTGCACCTGACCCTGTGAGACACCAGTGGTGGTGGCTAAGCCAGTGCCTACATCACACCTCCCCCAACTCCTGGCAGTGCAGCTCAGAGACAGTCTTTTCCACATGGGGAAAAGAAGGGACAAATTCAGAGGACTTGGTTTTAAAATTTGGGTACCAGCTAAGCAATATTTAAGTGCCAAGTAGACTCCTGAAGCCTCTGATTCAAGGCTATAGTTCGTGGATAGCATTTCTAGACCCACCCTGGGCCAAAAGTAAAGATGCTACCTTGAAGGGCAGGACACAGTCCTGGCAAGATTCACCACTTGGTGAATAAAGAAGCACTTGGGCTGTGAATAAACATCAGAAGGAGCCAAGGGCTTTGGGTAAGACTAGGCTGAGTTCTATTGTGACATGGCATAGTCCCAGCTGCAGTGGCCAAGAGGAAGTGCCCACATCTCTCCTCCCCCAACTTCACCAGCCCAGCACAGAGAGTGAGGGAAGAGAGTTGGAGACTTTGCCTGGTAATCCAGGGAATTATCCTGTATCTAAACAAAGTACACCAAGATAGGACGACCAGGAGCCTACAAGAGTCACAGCATTATTAGGCTTGGGGTACCCCCAGTATTGATATGGCTATAGTGACCAAAGACTTAGATCACAATACTCAATTCCCTTTGAGTATCTGGAAACCCTTCTCAAGGAGGACAGGTTAAAACAAGCACAGATTGCAAGAAATAAATACCTAATCCTTCAATGCCCACAAATCGACAAACATCCACAAGCATCAAGAGCATACAGGAAAAACATGACCTCATGAAACAAACTAAATAAGGTACCAGTCAGCAATTCTGGAGTGATGGAAATATGCGACCTTTCAGACAAAAAATACAAAATAGCAGTTCTGATGAAGCCCAGTGAACTTCAAGACAACACAGAAAAGGAATTGAGAAGACTATCAGAGAAATGTAACCAACAGACTGACATTAAAAAAAAAGTCAAGTAGAAATTCTGGAGCCGAAAAACTCAAAGGACAAACTGAGAAATGCATCAGAGTCTCTCAACAGCACAACTAATCAAACAGAAGAAAGAATTAGTGAGCTTGAAGACAAGCTATTCGAAGATACAGTCAAAAGAAAAAAAAGAAAAAAGAGTGAAAAAGAATGAAGCACATTTACAGGATCTAGAAAATAGCCTCAAAGGGGCAAATATAAGAGATATTAGCCTTAAAGAACAGGTACAGAGAGAGGTTGGGGTATAAAGTTGATTCAAAGAAATATTAGAGAATTTCTAAACCTAGAGAAAGTTATCAATATTTAGGTAAAAAATGGTCATAGAACAAGAAGTAGATTTAATCCAAATAAGACTACCTCAGGCATTTAATAATCAAGCTCCCAAAGGTCACAAATAAAGAAAAGGTCCTACCCATTCTACTAAGTGAAGTATCCCAAGAATGGAAAAACAAGCACCACATGTACTCACCAGCAAATTAATATTAATGGATCAACACCTAAGTGGACATATAGGAATAACATCTATCGGGCATTGGGCATATGGGAGGGGGAAGTAGGGGATAGGTGTATACATAAATAATGAGTGCAATGCATACCATCTAGGGGATGGATACTCTCGAAACTCAGACTGGGGGAGGGGGGGGAGGCAACACATGTAACCTAAACATTTATACCCACATAATATGTTGAAATAAAATTTTTTTTTTAAAAAAAAGGTCCCAAGGGAAGTAAGAAAAAAGAAAAAAAAATGACACATAAAGGAGCTCCAATATGTCTGGCAACAGACTTCTCATTGGAAATCTTATAGGCCAGGAGCGAGTAACATGACATATTCAAAGGCCTGAAGGAAAAGAACATTAACCCTAGAATATTACATCCTGCAAAAATATCCTTCAAACATGAAGGAGAAATAAAGACTTTCCAAGACAAACAAAAGCTGAGGGATTTCATCAGTATCACACCTATTCTACAAAAAATGCTAAAAGGAATTCCTTAATATGAAAGAAACATATTGTAATGAACAGCAAAAAATCATCTGAAGATTATAAAACTTGCTGGTAACAGTAAGTACATAAATACAGAATATTCTATTGCTATAATGGTTGTATATAAACCACCTATATTTTCAGCAGGAAAACTGAAAGACAAATCTAACAAAATGACTAAAGCAACTTTCTAAGAGATAGATAGTATAAAAAGATATACATGGAAACAACAAAAAATTAAAGGGAGAGACGAAGTAAAAGTGTAGAATTTCTTTTAGATTTATCTTCACTTGTTTATTTGTGTGTTTGTAAGCAGAGTTGTCATGTGTTTAAAATTATTGGTAATGAAATGTTTTTTGCAAGCTTCATTGTAACCTAAAATCAAAAAACCTACAACACATACACGAAAAATAAAAAGAAACTAAAACACACCACCAACAAAAAGCACCTTTAACAAAGGAAGACAGGAAGGAAAGTAGAAAGAGACAACCACAAAACAAGCAGAAAGCAGATAACAACATGGCAGTAGTAAGTCCTTACCT